GATATAACATATGCTTGTAAAAACAGAGTAGTATATAAACTTGCATTACAGGTATTACAGTGCATTTTACACACAACAGTTCCCTTCTACTGTGAAAATAATAATGGGATCGCCCCAATTTCTCACAAAGCACTAGCCTATGAATTAGTTTTACATCACAGAAATAGGACTTGAACCTTTGATAATGGTATTTAAAGATAAAAAAACAAAACTTGCCAGTTTCTTGGATTCAAGGTAAAACTCCAAAGTCCAGAGGATTAACTAGTGCACCCAGGGAGATGACCTTGTTTCTGACACTTAAGGAGGGGGAATGACATAACTTATTAACAAAAGAAGTCTAGAAAAATTCACAAAGCACTACATCTCTGCGAGGATCTCCTAGGATCTGAACTGGGCATATCCACATCTCATTCAGGAACTCTGTTCTCCAAGGAGCAACCTAGCAGCAGCTTTTAGCACCATTTCATAATTCTCACCTCCCCAGTAGGAAAAGCAAAAGATAATCATTTAGTTTCCTCTCAAAATCCACTACTTTCTGAGAGTCTACTCAGCAGATGCTTGCTCCTGAGCACAATTATTTATTCTCTACTTTTCTCAACCGAAGTCATTTTTTTTGCCATATTTTCTATAACACTCCCAATGGATCAGAAGGGACCCAGCAGTCCTTCCCCACTTATTACCACCTCAAAAGTGTCATTCCTACATCCAATTAAGAACAAAGGTACTCCAAACTGATGAACAGAAGCTCTTAATTACACAGCAGCTTTGAAACACCTCTCTACTCTACACAGATTTAATCTTCTTAAATGTGCTGCTCACTAATAATTTCATGTGGACAAACCAGCACCTTTTTATTATGATAAATAATAGCCATCATGTTATTTATAAAATAAGTTGAGGGTCTGTAAATACAGCAAATGACTCCTGATTTGTGCTCAAATTTTGGATACTGTTCATAATTCACATCTCAAAACAGTCTGTCATTAAAACCACTCAGGAACAGAACAGAAAAAGACTTTGGCAAAGTAGTAAAACCAAGCTGTTGCATTTACCAATTCCCATTGTTCGCAGTTCAGTTTAGTGCAAGTACGGTAGCTCTTCCTTTTCAAGAGCTCCAAATTATATTTCCCCACTAACAACTAAATAAGTAGTTCCCAAATCTTAAGTTTTCTTTCAGCTTTTTATATTAGGTTAATGTGTTTAGTTATATACCGGGATTCTGTGTAAGTGTGCACACTTAAATGTACAAATATGTACACATATATTTATGCTTTATCTACACAAAAAAAGAAATAGGGAAAGAGGTACATGGATAAAAACCTCTTATTTCCTTCTTATACATGTCTTGCACCAGGCTCAAAAGCAATGAAAACTGAGCTTTTAAGAAACAGCTGGAATGAACATCAATGTAAGTTGATGTCTGCATAACAGAGACCCAGAAAAGACCTGTGACTAGAAGGGAACCTGTTTCTCCCCAGTCTCCAACACATAAAAGATTATGCTTCTTGGAGGCAACACCAAAAAGCCCCAGTTACTTTTGATGGAGTTTTCCCTTTCTTTTTTAAAAGGTGCTGTTAATGGCAGATCAGTCTGACCAAAGGATTCGGCTTTGGAATAAAAACAAGAGCAGTCTTTTCTGGTTCTTCTTTTTCAATAGCTCAGCTGGAGTCACATCATGGTGGGTTTTAATCCTGTCACAGAATACCAAAAGAGGGAGAGAGAGATCCCAGTGACTCGGACAAGCTTTGCAGACATAACTCTGGTGCTGTATGAAATGTGTCTTAAAACATGTCTGTAAATCAATATTCAATTAATGCAATATTTTAATAGTAAGAAAGATTTTATTGCTCTACCTCAAACACAACAAAGCATAAAGACCAGCTTCTAACCAAATATAATGGTACATCTAAGGGTGCATTGCTACATCTCCACCATTCAGCACAACAATCACTACTTCCTAACCTTCATGTTTCCATGAAGAGACGTATCACTAAACAGTCTCTGGTTCCCAGTTCAAATATTTCTCACAGATTATAGCAGCCAGAGAGGCCACATTTTATAATTCAGCTGTTGTCAGTTTTTACAATGATGTTTATTTTCATCCTTCTTTTTACACATAAGCAACATGACCTCCTACTAAGCTTCACATATAACTCAGCTCTTGGTAGATTAAGTCTCTCGAAGTAGGCTTCTAAGCACAAGAGCTTGTGATTCTCTCCATACAGGACAGTAGTTACATTGGTTTGTCAAACACCTCCCTAACACTCTAACATTGTTTTCTAAGTTACAGTGGGGAGGCAATCAATCACCATAGAGTAAAAGGATATGTTCTTCCTCTTAAGGTGTCTTATACTGACATCAGTCATTGGCTGGAGCTTTTTCTTTTATGTTGGTAAAGTCCAAATCCAAAGAGGGTGAGAGGATAACTGCAGTGGAAGTTCAGATAAGGGAGGATAATATATTGGAACTGAGAAAGTTTGACAGCCCATGCAGGCAGGAAAGAAATTAAGAGGATGCTCCTGGCCAGAAGCAGCATGGATACAGCAAAGATCAAAAACATCCATTCCTTTCCTATTTCACTTAGCAAGCAGCTATGCAGCAAAGCAGGCAGTCACATTACAATCTTTTTATTACTGTTAGAAACATTGAGACTTTGAACAATCTTATGGCAAACTCTAACTAACATGAAATATTTTACTCCCAGGAACAGTTTCAGCTTGCCCATTCCTTTTATTTATACACACATACAAAAAAAAAAGGGGGGGGTGGGGGGGAAGGGAATGATGCATAAAAAAATATGTCCAGAAAAGTATGAGGAGTGTTGACCACTCATCCTTCTAGTAGTCTGTGTCATGGTACCACAAACGCAAGGGGACACAAACAGCAGGAGAAACGGTGGCTAAGAATGTGACTTGAGAAAGGATGGTCATACTTCTCACCCCAGGCATTCAGCACTGATTTCATGCAGCACTGGCTTAATCTCAAAACTTCTAACCTCCTTACAAACTACATCACATCCACTTCCCTGAATCTCTGTTTCAATACTTAAAAATACACTAGGGTTTTAATTTATGCAGTTAACTCCAACATTTCTGCAGGCACTAAGATGCTGGGGAGTGTCAATGTACATAGTATTGCAGTTATATTAATTTAGAAAAACTGGAAAGTCACAGTTGGAGAATATTATAGTGATCTTAAAAAAAATAAATTCTAAAACACCTCCTAGAATGAAGTCCTGCAACTTTTATTCATGATCAGTATTCATTATGCACAAAATCCTGAAGAACCGTGCGTAAGCACCACACACTCCAAGGATCCCAGAATCAGGTCCAGGAGGATATGCAAAGATTGCAACTTCCTTTTTTCACACCCAGTTACAGTCTCAGGTGTTTTAAAAGAAGCAGCCACAGCACTGACAGAGATATTTTTGTACGCAAAAGAAGTATACAGAGAGGTGAAAATCTGCAACCTCAATTAACAGTTATTGCAGACCTACAGAGTTATTGCTGAACATTTTAACAAGCAAATCATTCAAAGCAACGTAAGCATAACAAAATTTCACCAAAAGCTATCCCTGTGGTGCATTTCTTGCTGTGGTCCTACAAGCACACAAGAATCCAGTAACCTGAATGGGGCTCTGGACGTAACAGGGTCCTCCCACAACCGTAATTCAGAACTAATTTTAGGAGAAGTTGCATACATGAAAGTAGGGGGTGTGGGAGAGACACAATGCAAAACTTTCTTTTACACAAGTGCCTTATAACTACAGTGCCATAAATGTGCTTAGTGTTTTACAAAAAATGTTATAATTCCCCTGTCTCTAGAAGCTTATGTTCCAGGTTCAGTAAGATGATAATACTTCTTAGAAATATTAAATTTACTACAGGTATTTTAAGAAGCGTAGAAGCCTTAGAAAGCAAGATTATAAAAGAGAACCTTGTAACAATTCAAAATATAATACCACTTCAATGCTTCTTGGCATAGCTGAAGGCACTTATATTCCAGTAAAAATAAAAAAATAGTTAGCACTTTAACAAGTGTCTAAAAGCTCTTTAAAAATTCAATACTGCATATGCAATAGTCAATTCAATTCTTACCCACAACAAAAATATTACTGGATAAAAAGCAGTACCTGACAGCTATTTAATAACATCTGACATGATACAACAATATTGTTTAGTTTTATTTTTAAGGACAGATTTCACAGAAATTTGCTGACAACTACAAAATCGAAATGAGGTTTTGAGCAAAAATCCATTGAAGGCTTTTGTCCACTGACACCCACGAAAAGTGGGCCTTCAAGGTGAAACAGTGTACCAAAAACTGTCAAATGAGAAATAATTTAGAAGGAGGAAAGAAAAGTAGATAGATATTGAACCTCAGATACTCAGCTGCGAGAGACATTTATGTGACACACCATAGGAGACAGCCAATGTTACTACCAGCAGTAGTAACAACTATAATTATTCTTGCAGTTTCTAAAACTACAGAAACGTAGCTGTGATTTTTCCCAAAGTCTAACAGGGAAAGGCTCTAAACACAACAGAGGAAAGGCTGAAGGTAAACACAAAGAGCACAGCAAGGGCTTGTAACCACCTGAACAGTTTAAGGAACGCTGGGTGGGTTTTTTTGGTTAACCACAAAGCTAAGGGAAAGGAGGAGTCTGGAATAAGGTGACATAACTTGAGGAGGGTGAAAACTGACAAGACTGAGGAAGAGAATTTAAGGAAGTTTTGAGCGCATCACCAGGGAGCACAGGGCAACAAAGGCCTTGGCGGGAAGCGCAGACTGCTCTCTGCATGGCCTCCAGCCTTCACCGTGCTGCTTTTGCAGCTGGTAGTACCAGCTGGTGTCTCTGTCTGGTTGCTCCCTGAAGTTGCTTCCTCAGACCACAGAGCCAGGTTGTGAGAGGGGGAGAGGAGGGGGTGGCCCAACCATGGTCCTAATGCTATCTACGTAGCCAAGTCCTGGGGCTGCAAGTCCCAGGAGGGACTGCAAGTCCCACAAAGACAGTGGCAACACAGTCCACTTGAGCCTGTGTTTGACTCTGTCTGGAGTCTTTCATCTGCTTCCAGTCACCCCATTCCCAAAAGAGATACTGGCACAACTTGAAGGATATCAATTATGGAAAATATCTTCTTGGAAGGACTATTCCATGGATATTTAAAATTAAACAAAGACCAGATATTCAGAGCTTGCCTAACAGTGAATAAAGACAGACCCTAAAAAAAACAAAAAAAACAATTAGAACTATATGAAAACATAGGCACCAATGATGGAAAGGAATTACTTACTGTAGTAAATGGAAGCATGAATGACAGTTAAGGGAGAAAAAAATATAACGTGGCAATGCAGACAACTGTAATAGAAAAGAAACTGTAAAGAAACCGAAACTGTGGGTCTCCAGACGTAAAGAACAAAGTTCCAGTATTCAAAACTCTTAAAGACAAGCGTAGGCCAAAAAATGTTTAAATAACTCAAATAAATGTCTCAAATAGTGTACAACACATAACAATCCTCCAGTGACAGTGTGTTGCCTAGATAATTCAAGACAAGCTTCTCTAACACCTATCTGCTGATTACAGTTTGATTGAAAATAAGAGCCTTGCAGACGACACAAATGCAACTGAACACAAGCATCCACCAAGACCAGAGGTTAATCCCTCTTCCATCACAAAAATAATGCTGTTGAATAACCTCAGAACTTCAAAATATCTACATAGTAAACTGGAGAACTAAAAAATGAAACACTCCATATTTCAAAGTTTAGAACACAACCCTTGAAGAGGAAAAGTGGGACTATTACTACTAGTAGCATTATATTACTTCAGAGTTCCTAATTTGATGCTTCCCACAAAAAAACATGCTGGAAGTTGATAATGTTCCTTTAAATGAGCAAATTTACAAAAAGAACTCATGATTTAGACCCTATCACTTGCTTCAACATCATTACTGTTTCTTTTTTAACATAACTTGATTAAATTTGTGGAAGATTAAAAAAAAAAAAGAGAAAAATAAATCAAGTTCTAGAATATAAAGGGTGATACTAGGGAATTTTTTTCCTAACATAATGAGATCATACCATTAAGACCCAATGCTTGCAACTTACAAGTAATTTTCATGCTTTGTGGGATATTGTCCTTCATTCATACACACACTCCATTATGCATTATAGATAATACATATAGGAGACCCAATGGAAGAAACTGCAATAAGCATTTCACACAAGATAATGGGACGGCTACATGATATAATGGAGACTTAGCATGGATGAAGAAATCCGCTTATCAGGCCCTCCACAGTATGCCAGCTATTTATGTGAAGTTTGAGCATCGTTATCTGGAGAAGAAGGTAAAAAGGGGGGATTCACAGAGAAGCAAGGTTATTTATTTGCTTTAGTAAGCTTGTGTGATAAACCAACACTCACATTCTCCACACCCATAATTTTCAGACTTACCTTCACCAAGACTCTGGGCTCTCAAGTTTTACCAACAATAAGAATGACATGGTTGATGCTATTACTATACAATACTGTAAAGGCATAGGACAGAATTGAGAACAGCAGTGTGAAATTTTTAAAGGAGACATTTACATGAAGGCACAGGTATGTTACACAGAATCACAGAATCCCAAGGGTTGGAAGGGACCTCAAGAGATCATCTGGTCCAACCCTCCTGCAAGAGCAGGGTAACCTAGAGTACATCACACAGGAGCTTGTCCAGGCGGGCCTTGAATATCTCCAATGTGAGAGACTCCACAACCCCCCTGGGCAACCTGTTCCAGTGCTCTGTCACTCTCACAGTAAAGAAGTTCTTCCTGATGTTAACGTGGAACCTTCTATGCTCCAGTTTACACCCATTGCCCCTTGTCCTATCACTGGATATCACTGAAAAAAGCCTAGCTCCATCATCCTGACACCCATCCGTTACATATTTGTAAACACTGATGAGGTCACCCCTCAGTCTCCTCCAAGCTGAAGAGACCCAGCTCCTTCAGCCTCTCCTCATAAGGGAGGTGTTCCACTCCTTTAATCATCTTTGTGGCTCTATGCTGGACTCTTTTCAAGCAGTTCCCCATCCTTCTTGAAATGAGGGGCCCAGAACTGGATGCAATACTCCAGATGTGGCCTAACCAAGGCAGAATAGAGGGGGAGGAGAACCTCTCTTGACCTACTAACCACTGCCATTTGCCTCCTTGGCCACAAGGGCACATTGCTGGCTCATGTTCATCCTCCTATCCACCAGGACCCCCAGGTCCCTTTCCCCTTCGCTACTTTCTAGCAGGTCAGTCCCCAGATCCACAATCCTGTTAGAATTCTCTTTACTGTCAGCTGTACACAACTATAAACCCAAGTTCTCTTGGTGAGTAATAAATAAGGAAACTTCCTCTCTGGAACAATACATACTATACAGCTTTTCTCATTATGGAAAAAGTTTAAACCAAATCAGGCCATTTTGGATCTACAGTCCCTCCACTGAATTTAATAAGATTTGGATCAGGCTTCTGGAATTTAACCTAATCTCACAGGCATAGGTAAGACAAGAATCACTAAAATTTAAAGACTGAACCTACCTTTGTGCATGAGTTACTATTACTCAAAAGATGTTTTCATGACAATTAGGATTCTGTGCTGAGTCTCACTTCCATCAGATACCCTTTTCCACTGAAATTTCCAGTTCTTCAGCCTTTAAATTTCAAAGAGGTCTTCAGTGTTGAAACAATTTGTAAGAGTGAAGGCAATCCACAAGTGAAGCAGTACCCCAAAGTTGTTACCTGTTTTACATGGCCAGAACAACTTCACCAGCAGACAGCATGACAAACAGATGTTCCAACTTTTTAACACATTTCTCTCAGTAGTGTCACGGTTGCGAAATTTTCAAAACAATAGCAAAACATGGCAGATTATTTGGAAACCAGATTTAGCATATTACTCTAAACAGGGCTTCACAACTTAGAGAAAAGAGTGTTTCTTAAACACTAAATGCCAGCATGTCTGTTTTTAATACTTGGTTTATGATTTTCAGAGTCACTCTAGCACACATGGCAAGCAGCACATTAACTTGTTACATCATCCAGCATCCAAAACATGGGTAGATCTCCTATGTGGAAACTGTTTTTCTGAGGAGCTCCACATAGTTCACTGAGAAGTTTTGCTACTGGTACCAACAGCAGCACTTCACCAGCCTCTTTAATCAGTAAATGCTCTCCATAGTTCTTCCTATGAACGTTGTCAAGTACAGACAAGTTTTAAGAAGTACTTATGTCAGCATAAGTTATACCTCTTCTCCATGCTCAAGTTTGCAACTGCAGTGCATGAACGCAGTACACCTCAATAATAAAACATAATTAATTAAAAAGATAAGACATTGTCAACAATTGCACACACATTTATCACTAACTACTGAACCCTCCAAACCCCTTGCCACTTTAAAATCTTCTGTTAAGCGAAGAATTGAAAAGGACAACAAGATTATAGCACAAAGAGGAGGAAATGATCTCCAGAACAATGATCATCTTCACTAAAAACAAACACACACACACATACACACACCCCCCAAAAAAAACAAACAAACCAAAAACCAGCAACGTGCACAGTGGTACTGAGAACCCTCAGGTAGCAAGACTGAATTCATACAGTAACAGCCATCAGTAACACTCAGAAACAACAAAAATTGTCAAAATATTATTCCAGCTTCAAATTATGTATATCTCTGTTTATAAATACTGACACAAAAACAGAGAAAGGTGGCTGCATAGATGCAAAAGACAGGTACATATATAGGGAGAAGTTAAGAAGTGATACATAGAACAAATTAAAAACCTTTAAAAATACAGTGATATCATCATATACTGATATATATTCCCTTTGGAATAAAGAGATGCTATATGACATGAAAAGAAGTCTTTTAAAAACAAAGAAATTGCCTTAAAACTGCATGTTCCATGATGCTGAGTGTTCCTCTATCATAGCCTCTTATTTTCAGGGTCAGAAAGCCTCAACAGAGGTAGCTAAACAAAAGAAACTGCAACTAGTAAGACCCTTCCATTTTCTAGCATCCATGCAAGACTTCCCTTCTTGGAAGGCCACATCCCTTATAGTGGCAACAAACCAGCAATTACAAGTAGGTTAACTAAACCCCAAGGGATTATTTTGCTTTCAATGTAATTTGTTATTGGTTTACATAATTTTGTTGGGTTTTTTTTTATAAAATTAAAACTTAAATACAGGTGAATTAGAATTACAAGCAACAGTAACCAAGACTTTCAAACACAGGTGCAGATACTTACTTTCCTTAACTGTAATCCTTATTTCTGGAATTTGGGTCCCAGCTTACCTAATTGCCCATGGAAATAATCTTCAAAAGCATTTCAGACCTCTACATAGTGCCTCCTTTCAAAATGTTCACCTTTCAGAATGTTCTGGTTCTAAAATGGTTTTGTTACTAGTCCACAAATGCACAAACTCTTAACACTTGTGTGTACCCCACAGCAGCACTAGAGCTTTATTTTAAATAGTCACTGTACTTGGAGATAATGGCCTGTAAATATTAAACCTAAAGGAAGGTCACGATCTTGCATATCCATGCTTCATCAATTTACAAACCAAAGACAATTCTGCTCTACACCTTCCCCCCCCATCCCTCCCCGATACCACAGTACAGAGATACTCGTATTTCCTTAGAGCAAGGTGATCAAAATATGGGACTCTTGGAAACAAGGAAGATCAATTAGCATAACCAGATGCCCTTCAGGATTCTTTACATTACTGCATTTTTGAACTAAAAGGCACTGGCCTTCTGACCCATGCACTGAGTTCGAGATGAAGCAACAGCTACAACATGGAGTAGGGGAGCCAACAGCAGAACCTGAAAGCCAAAATGCAACTCAATTTGTGCCAGAATGGTGTAAACAGCCTTAGATTTTTCTGTTGCAACATAAAGTGAAACTTCATAAACAGAAACATCACAAGCAAAAAGATATAGATTGGGCATCTCCCCTGTCACCACTTAAAATCAAACAAACAGCAAGTATTGTTTTAATCATACTACTGCTCCGACATTTCAGAAGCAAGCACGACTGCATAAAATAAAGAGACTGCATTGAGTAACCCCACGGACACATGGATATTTTTATCTCTTATCTAAGGATGCCGGATTTTGAGGCAAATTAATTGTTTATTTATCCTGACTTGAATGCAGTTACTGAAATTTACTGAACAAGTCTGCACAACTTGTAAGCCCTGAGACTCCATCAATCTGAGTGTCCTGTTAAATCACAAGCTTACAAATAGAAGGCTTCCCAAATGAGCAAGGGGAATGACTACCACAAGATCTTCTATTTTTTGTAATAGCTCCAGCAAGAATTACCATGTTTGGCTTGTCAGAAATAATACGCAAATTCAACACATACATAACCAATCATAGCATGGATTGGGTCTGTAGGAACAGAATAGAGAATACCTACACACAAAGACTTACCCCTCCACTCCATCCTTTCTCTCCACTAGAAGGTAAATGGAAATCACTCTAAGTTTGGTGTGTGAAATCACACCATTCATAGTATTATCCTAATAGGTAGCAAAGAGAAAAAAGACCTCATCAGCGATACATGAAAAACAAATTACTAACAAACAGACAGAGCATTTATGATGCTTTGCCAGACTGTGAACAGGCCAACTTCTGTCACAACAAAAAGAAATTGTGTCCTACAGATTTGCTCCCTTGTCAAACAGCCTTCATGCAGTGCTGCAGCACAGCACTAGCAAGAATGATCTAATTTCTGAAGATGGCTCTCATCTGACATGGTCTCAGAGGCTGCCAAAACCAGCTAATGCAGGACCAGAGTTTCTGCTTCCACACCAGTTGGCCCATAACTGATCACTTACACTCCAATGTCTGTACCAACTTGTTATTTTAAGTTCTGTTCACTCTAATATTGCCTTTCTTAAACATTTTTTCTCTCAATCTTCGATTCTCTCTTAGATATATAAAAAGCAAAAGAAAACATCCTATTAACATGGCACTAATTATTCCAAAAATCTTGTTTAAGCCCCTGTATACTTTATAAAAGAAGTATTTACCAGGCTTTTCAAAGACTGGACATTACAGGGTGTTAAGCCATCTGTGAAAGGTGCGACAAGTCAAAATTTATTTCAAGTGTCCTGGGTTTAAACCACAACAGCAAGAAAACAAGAGAACATGAGACTGCCAAACCCTTGTGTCTTTACATATTCTAACATTTCTGACACAATTTGTTTTCCCATCAGCAGGCACTAAAAAATTAGATATGACATATCTTGTTCAAGACATCTCACCTTACTTACTACTTAACTGCCTTACTCAGCTTAAAAATTAAAAAAAAAAATTAAAAAGTAGAAAATAAAGAGAGAAACTGCTACTAAACATGGCTGAATTAAAAATGGAAGTCACCTGTGTTTCTTGAGAGATCCGGGGTTGAAACACAAGAAAACCCAAAACTGCTCCAGGATGTTACTTACCAAAAAAATTGGAACAATCCCAAAATGCTGCAACAGTTCCAGTCACCCTTATTGTGTATTTCTGTAGTTCACAGAAATCTGTATCCCACTCCCAGATCATACCTTTTGCCCTCTACTTTCTGAGAGGGGTGGTATGTTCTGACCCAACTCTACTAGGTTTGCGTAGGCAGGTTTTTTTAGCGGGGGAGTTTCTCCTAAGAGACGCTACTAGCAGCTTCCCCTGTGGCCCATAAAGCCAATGCCAGACAGCTCCAAGACAGAGATAGAACTGCTGCTGTCCAAGCCCATCAGCAATAGTGGTAGCACCTCTGGGATAACATAGTTAAGAAGACGGGGGAGGGAAACCAAACCTGCACAACTGCAGATGAAGACAGGAATGAGAGTATGTGAGACTCTGCAGCCACCAAGGTCAGTGAAGAAGGCAGCAGAGGAGGAATGGACATGTGGACCGGTGGATAGAAGTCCATACTGGAGCAGGTTTGCTGTCAGGACTTTTGACCCAGTGGGGACCCATACTGGAGCAGTCTGCTCCTGAAGAACTATTCCCTGTGGAAGGTACCCAAGTTGGAGCAGTTTATGAAGAACTGCAGCCTGTGGAAAGGACTCATGGTGGAAAAGTTTGTGGAGAAGTCTCTCATGGGAGAGACCCCACACCAAAACAGGGGAAGAAGGTGAGGAGTCCTTCCCCAGAGAGAGAGTGGCAGAAAAGAACATGTGATGAACTTATGCAATACCCATTCCCTGTTCCCCTGCTCTGCTAAGGGAAAGGAGGTAGAAAATTCAGGAGTAAAGTTGAGCCCAGGAAGAACGGAGGGGTGGAGGAAGGTGTTATAAGATTTGGGGTTATTTTCTCATTACCCTACTCTGATTTGATTGGCAATAAATTAAATTAATTTCCCCTCAAGTCAAAACTGTTTTGCCTGTGACAGTAATTAGGGAATGATCTCCCTGTCCTTATCTCAATCCATGAGCTTTTGGTTATATTTTTTCTTCCCAGTCTATCTGAGGAGGAGAGTGACAGAGTGGCTTTGGTGGCATCTGGCATCCAGCCATGGCCAATCCACCAATAATCAATACCTCTGATTATTTGAAAATATTCAAATCTGATATGCTACCTTCACTTGTTTTAAAGAAAAGCAGCACAACAGCTGACTTGCTTGCCAGTAACACTGCAGTACTATTTCTTCTATAAGGAGAAAGGAAAGATATCTGAAATAAATAGATATTTCATGTATCTGATAGTTACTAATAGATGTCTAATAGATTATCTAATTTGTTTTTAATAGACTACAGTTACAGTGGTAACACACACCACAAAGTGATAAAGAATTTTTAGGAGGATTAAAATACCCCCAAAATTACATATAATAAGGGTTATGTGAAATAATATAGCAGATTATTCTTGCCTAAATACCATAAATACATTCGTGCTATTTGGTTAAACAGCTCTAGGGACACTTTTC